AAAATCTTGTCGTCATTCTTGTTCAAGTTAAGATCAGTCATTCCTAACAGGAAGTATTCTGGTTTAAATTCATAATTAAACTGAAGAATTTCTCCTAATTTTCGATACACCTCATACCAGAATTTTTTAACGGCTTTGTACTCCCACCACATATGTTTGAACGTACCCACTTTCTTCTCGCATCTCCAACATTTTTTGTCAATCATACCTTTGCTATATTTTGCTAATTTTTCTGGGGTATGGTACAATAAGTAAAACATTTTAAACCAGTTTTTCTTGATTTCTGTCGCGTATGCATATTTCAATTTCTTTGTCCAGACCTCCTCCCATTCTACCATGTTAATCGTGTGTCCTATTAATTTGGCCTACTTGATCATGACTGTGTTTACTTGTTCTTCTTCAGTTGCCCAGGTTAAAAGTTGTTGATACAGCCTTTTAATCAATTTGTTATTCATTTTAATGATTTTGTCCCAGACTTTCTTTCAATTCAAATCCTATCTTTCTATCCTCTTTATAATTTTCATTAACCTGCCAGAGCTGGAACCAGGAAAATTTAGGATCTATTAATTTTATCTCCTCCAATGTTTTCATTCTTATTCCTTGACTGCTTACATTAAGCAGTTGCCTGTATGTCAGCCATCCATCGCCGGACATTTCCCTTCTCTGATCTGCCTCATTCGGGGAAAACCACATTGGAGTCTTAGTGTACCACTTCCTTTTGTATTTATTCCATATTTTTATCAATGATGCTCTTACGAAATGATTATTGAACTTTCTCTCTACAGCGACTTTTCCCTTCCATAAGTAACTTCTACCTAACGACAGCAGCAAGGATTAGTATAGCTAGAAAATGGAAAAATAAGGATACAGCAACGTTTAACTCTTGGATTAATAAGGCAAAGAGTATGGATTTGTTGACTCAGAAACTAAGATATAACAGAGTAACAACTAATAATACGGACTGGAACAAATTTATCAACTTCTTAAAAAAACATAATTACAAATACCCCTAATAAGGGAAGGAAGGAAGAATCCCAAGGGCCACGCTACAGCAGGTTACGGGATAACCTGTATAACTAAGATCGGATATGAATGAAGAAATATACATTGTCGCTTGGAAGTCAAGGGGAATATATATGTATATGTACTCGACTGTATGGATATGGATGGATGTTTTTGTTGGGTTTTTGTTTGTTTGTTTGTTAGGTAGGTATGTATGTAATAGATCCAATAGAACATCAGATCTCTTACAAGATACTGATCCTGACATTTAGAGCTCAAAATGGCCAAGGACCTTTATATCTTAGGGACCGCCTCATTCCTTTTCCCCATCAGTGGTCACCTCGATCCACCCAGGAAAATCTCCTCTACATACCGGGTCCTAGGGAGGCACATTTGGAAGCTACAAGGCGTAGAGCTTTTTCGATCAATGCTCCAATTCTGTGGAACTTATTGCCTCCATATATTAGAGCAATGTCGGAGTTGCGACCTTTTGCAAAGGCGCTCAAGACTTGGCTGTTTGGTTGTGCATTTAAGTAACCGGATCAAATTTTGCCATAGTCACTGCTGAATGTTTTTATGTTGAATGTTTATATTGTTGAATGCTTTTATATTGAATGTTTTTATATTGAATGTTTTTATATTGAATGTTTTATATTGTGTATAAACTGTTTTAAATTGTAAGTCGCTCGGAGCACCTTGGTGGAGAGCGACTAATTAAGAAATAAAGGGATGATGATGATGTATAGAGACAGTAAAGAATAATGTATGCAAAATCACATATACACATGTATATACAATTCTACATGTAGAGGGAATGTTAACTGGGGCTGTCATTGTATATTTGTGTATTTGTATACTTGTCTGATTGTCTTGTTTGATCTTCTTCAATAAAAATGATTCATAAAAAAACCCTGAAATTGTTTGGTAAGTTTGGGTGGGAAATATACATCTAAGACATTTTTACATCTGTGTATTTTATTAGAATCTTAAGATTCTTCATGTATTCAAATTATGATCAGCTTAACTGAAGATAAATAGAAGTGTATTTTAACATTTGTATCTGAAATAACTCCCAGTGTAAGGGTAAAAATACACACACCCCATAGATTGCTTAACTATTAATAACAAATTCCTAACGATAAGATTATGTGAGACAAAATCCACAGAATATTAAAAATATAGCCGGATGAATGATGAGTTAATTGTGGAAAAGAGAAACCTACCTAACAAAAATTAGAAGACACACCCAAGATTTAGCATGATAACAAAAAAATCTAGAAATCTATATATATATAAATGCTCTGTGCATAATGAGTACCTCAAAAACAAAAGAACCAATGAACGAAATCACACCAAATTTGGCAACAAAACCTCTCATAACACAAGGAGTGACCATCACTCAAAAAATTATGATTTTGTCATTTGGGAGTTGTAGTTGCTGGGATTTATAGTTCACCCACAATCAAAGAGCATTATGAACTCCATCAACGATGGAATTGAACCAAACTTGGCACACAGTTCTCCCATGACCAACAGAAAATAATGGAAGGGTTTGGTGGGCATTGACCTTGAGTTTGGGAGTTGTAGTTCACCTGCATCCAGAAAGCACTGTGGACTCAAACAATGATGGATCTGGACCAAACTTGGCACAAATATTCCATATGCCCAAATATGAACACAGATGGAGTTTGGGAGAAATAGACCTTGACATTTGGGAGTTGTAGTTACTGGGATTTATAGTTCAGCTACAATCAAAGAGCATTCTGAAGCCCATGAATGACAGAATTGGGGCAAACTTCCCACACAGAACCCCCATGACCAACAGAAAATACTTAGGGCCATCCAGTCCAACTCCCTTCACAAGAACAAGAAAATGTAATCAAAGTCCTCCTGACAAAGAGCCATCCAGCCATAGATAGATAGATAGATAGATAGATAGATGATAAATATGATTCACACACAGAGAGATATAGTATCATAGATTTGAAAGGGACCCCTAAAGAAGGACAATTATATGTTGCATGTTCCAGGGTGGGCAAACCAGACAATCTCCACATCAACACTGACAAAGAAACATCAAGAAATACTGTTTACCCACAAGCATAAAGACATTACATATATTAGAAACCAACACTTTCTCATTACTTTATTTTCTAGATCTGCAGAATGGGCCACAGCAACGCGTGGCAGGGGACGGCTAGTATTCTTTAAGTTATAGATATTGTAAACTCACCAGAAACTAAGAATGTTTGGACAACAATGAATGCATTAATGCAATTAATGCATCTCAGCAAGAGATTTCCCAGTCTCAGCCAGGCCTTCAAATGCTAATGAAGGTGGTCAGTTGAAACACTCACACCTAGCTCCAGCAGAGAAAAGCTCTTTGCCCCACCCCAGCCATTCCACAGATATATAAACCCATTGTCCTAATTCCAACAGACCTCACTACCTCTGAGGATGCTTGCCATAGATGCAGGCAAAACGTCAGGAGAAATGCCTCTAGAACATGGCTCTATAGCCCGAAAAAACCCACAAGAACCTAATTAATGCATTGGTAGCCGCATTTAACTGAAGTCTATTACCTAAA